TATCTGTAAATAATGTCTGCAGTCTTGTTTTCTCAAGATCTTATGGGGTTTTCCAGACTAAGACAACCACCTAAAATAAAAGACAGTTTCATACATCATAAGGGACCATTTATTCTGATCATTTAACACTGTATGTCTGATCCACACTGTTAAGAAGACCTCTCTCAATAAATTCCTGTTGATCAAAAACCTGCACCACTTACAAAAACAAACAAAAAAAATCTGCCTCTTTCCTCGTATAAACCTGTATCAGTCTTTAACAAAGTTTTGGATTTTAAAAATGTTGGACTATTCATCACATCATCCTGTGAATTCTTCAAAAGTATAGCTATTCATTTTATAACTTATAAACATAGAAAGAAAAACATGTAAACAATTCTAAATATATTTTCATAGCTCTTTTAAGATCAAAATTAACATATTTAGAATATATGTATTTGCCATACAAATTTACAAGCACATGTATCACTTAATGCAGGAACTGAAATATCCTTTTAACAAAAATTCTGGATCATCTCACAGTAGCAGCAACTTTCTGTGATCAAGAAAATTCCCTGTAATATTTAAAAAATGTGAGTGAATGACAGGAAAAGATTCATAAGTGCAAAGTACCATTGTATTTGAACTGTGTATTTCTACTATATTGTTAGACATATGAGTCACTGTAAAAAAAGAAAACTCTAATACACTAGTAACATAATGTGGAACTACAATGAAAAGGAATGATAGGGAAAATCCATTCTCCTAGGGACTGTCACAAAAAAAAAAAAAAAAAAAAAAAAGGAAAAATAATGCCTCCAGACTTTTAAAGATACGTGATTATTACTCCACAATGTTTAGGATGAATTCCTTTGTTTTTGGAGGGAAGAAGAAGTGGGAAGGGGAAGAATATTTGGCAGCATATTGAAGTGAATGGGCTCCTCTGTATTCTTTGGTCAGTACCAGTAAGCAATTTTCAATGTAGCCTCATGTTGGACGAGACAAAAGAGAAATATAGTCTAATGTTTAGACTCCCCTTAAAGCTCACTGTCTTGCCTGTTTACAGATTAAGTATAAAATAAAAACAAAAGAAGCAGAAATAAAAAAGTAATTTGCCCATGGGTATGCTTTTATGTAGCAAGGAACAGGTCAGGACATGAAATATGTTCTTTATACCAAAAGAATCAAACCTTTCTTAGAATTGAAAATATTTGGGCTTTTATGAAATAAATATGAAAACCTGTCGGCAGCTATTTACTTTTAAGTCAAAAGAGAAACTATTGTAAGTTCCTTGTCTCAGGCATTTTATGTGTTCTAACTGATCACACAAGATGGTTTTGTGGATCTTTTGTACAGAATGAATGCGGTTTGGTTCTGCTTTTCAACTAGAATATCAATCAGATTACATCAGTCCTATGCTCATGTGCTTTGGGAATGGTTTGTTGTCCCGTCTTCTTTACCTAAATGTAAATATATTTCACTAGAGTCTACATAAATAAAAACCAGTTGGAACTATTATTGTACTCCCATCCCAACGCTTAAGATGGACAATGAAACTTAAAATAGACAAAGGTATTATAAACATTTAGTAGCCCCAGGGATCATTAAAGTCTTGCCTGTAAAACTGAAAGTGGTAGATTTCTGGGATTTAAAAGACAATGATGTTCTTAACAAAGGCCCCTCCATTTTACAGTTCTCCATCCCCTCTTTTCTATTAGGACAGCTCTTAGAAAAAGCCCCATCAAACACAAGGATGGAGTAACAATTCTGTCTGCACTACCTGCTTAAATGATGACTAAATTTGCACACTGTAGTGTCATGGTAGCTATTGTCACAATTTCACACCATAGAAAACAGAGAGAATAGAGTTGTTACTGCAAGAAAATTAGGAAAACTATGTAGGTGTTTATTAGATTGTTATGTCTATGTAAAGCAAAAGAAACAGTAGACCTTACCTTAAAGCTCAACTGGAATACAGTAGACTCAAGCAGGTTGGTTAATACCGAAAATCCATGGATTATCATTCAAACACATCATAGAACTTTTTTTGTTATTTCTATAGAAAATCACCCTCTCAGTGACACCTATGGAAACTACTGTTCCTCTAAATGCCCAAAGACAAACACAATCACGGGTAGGAAGAATGCCTTGTTTACAAAGAATTACAGTAAAATCTGAGGTCAGTGTACCCAGAGAAGTTCAGGACAGCTCATGAGTTCTGTAAGCAGGATACAAATTGCTGAGGAATGAAAGTGCCCTAAAATGTACAACACAAAAGAAAGGCTCTACATTGATATTGAGGGAGAGCCGCAATCTCAGACATAGCTGAAAAGCTACATTCAATTTTCTGCTTCACCACTCTGCCAGACTGAAGGTGCGTTTCATATGTGTCCTCTTTTATTTTTCTTTCCTCATTGTCTGCTGCTGGGTTGCTGTGAGAAGCGAAACTCTGACTAGATGGGTGAATGTTCTGCCCCAACATGATAACCTCCCCATGACACAAAGCATCTGTTTATGGCTTGTCCCTTCCAGCCTTTGAGGAAAGACCTCCCCTCAGGCAGCTCCTCGTATCAGCACAGCCTTGGCCCTGGATGTGCTCAGTCTGAATCACCTTTCTTAATGACAACCCAGAAAATTCTCTAGAACTGTAATATTTTATTAGACAGATAGGAAACAGTTAAAATATGCCTACTAGTGAATGTACAAAAAAAAAAAAAAAAAAAAGGAGATGAATTCTATGATCAGAAACCAGAGGGGCTCAAAAGTAGTAAAAACCATCTCAACAGTATAAACTTTTTCAGTGTACTGAGATTTTTTAAAAATATTTGTTCAGATAACAAATTATTCCTTCTATTTGTTTTTTAGGTTTTGTCCAATTTTGAGGGGTCATACCACAAATCTACCAAAGAGGAAACATACATATTTAGTCCAAGATTATACTTGGCTGTTCAGTTGTGTTTTAGAACATGAACAAAAATAAGCTTTCCTCAGGATGTCGTCAGCATGTTCTGAGAGGCAAGAAGGGCTGAACAAATAAAACTCAGTGCCATTCTTCCAGTTCTGCCTCTCACCAGCTGTGCTTTCAAATTCAGTATTTAATTTTTCTGTTGTCTATCTCCCTTTCTCTTTTCCTGTTTAGAGAGTTGGTTTTACCAAGCAGAAGCTGTCTCTTACTCAAGGAGACCTTCATCCTTTTTTTTTCCTGCAGTATCTATTTATAATGCATCATAAACTTTCCTTCTCTTCATGATTATCTATTATTCATGTTGTGGTAGTGTCTAGAGACCAATAAATTAAGATTATGACAAGATGCAATGTATGCATAAACACATATGGCAGGTGGATAGTTAATAATAAAGACAGGGGTATGTACATAACCTAATGGTGTCAGTAACTACTAATGTTCCTCTTTTCCAATTGGATCTAATGATTTTTTTTTTTTTCTGGGTGCAACAAATGATTTTATAGCAATTCATTGTAGTTTCCCCTTCCTTACAGTTAACACACCTCATTTTTTATTTTGCAATATTTGTAATGGTTATAAAATTGGTAGTGGCATTAAGAGTTTGCACGTCCTTTTTTTTTTTTTTTTTCACCTTTAAAAAACCACAGTTTACCATGAGTAATATCCAGGAAATGTGGAATATTTTAGAAACAACAAGTTAAAAGTAAATACTACCATTAGCTGTTCTACTACACAGTGCAGTAATTTTATAGAGATTAAACCTGGGTTTGAAATATTTTAAAATTTCAAAGATAATAGAAATTGTCTTGGCTGAGTGGGTTGGAAAACTTTTTTTTTTTTTTTCAGAGCAATCTTTGTAAATGTTATATTTTTTGTGCCTCCTACTTATCAGACCCAGATTCTTCCACCTTCGCCTAGGTATAACTAAGTATTACATACAGATAGTCCCTATAAATGCAAGGGTTTTTTTAGCAGAAGTAAAACTAACTAATAAAGCCACTCTAATATAAATGAACATTCAGTTCTGCTGATTTCTACCTCAATGTCACAGACTTTTTTACTACATTCATTCATATTAATAGTTATAGCAGTGCCCAAAAGATACTCAACAACAAGGAAAGAAGTCTTTTGACAACCATTCTTGATATCGTAGGGTCACAGAGTCAGGGACCTCTGAAGGTCATCTAATCTAAACCCCTACTTGAGCAGGACTACCTAGAACAGGCTGCCCAGGATTGTCTATACAGTTTTGAGTATCTCCGAGGATGCAGACTCCACAACCTCTCTGGCCAAACTATGCCAATGTTCTCCTGTAGTCAGAAGACAAAACATCTGCAATGTTTTAATGAGATGCAATTCTTGCCACAGGCTTTTTAAATTACACTATTTTAGATATAGAAATTCAGCCAACCAGAATTCATCCCAGATCTCTCTTCCAGCTCAGACTGTCTCATTGTACTCCAGCCATATAGTCATGCAACAGTCAGCATCTAAATCGTATTTCAGTGATTGTAGATATATGTGAATATTTATCATTATTTAAGTTTATAATACAGGTAAAACCCACGGAGTTAGTAGAGTTATGTGATCCCAGAGCACAACTCTAATATAGGAAGTTCAGTAGTCACTTGATTTTTCTAAAGAAGGTCAACTAAGAGTTTAATAACGAAAAAAAACCCCACAAAACTAAAATAATAAAACTTTTAAAAACACAGTCTGAATTGGAGTTTTTACATTATTTTAGTATTTTGAAAGTCTGCTTTCTATCTTCTAACTTTTTTTTTAATACATGCTGTGATTATAATTGCACTGACATAAATAGTTATAGAGCATGAAGCCACAAATCTGTTGTTGAAGGAGATTTTGTACAAAGCATTTCAGGAAGAAGTACCTATAGTATGACTATGACACAATTTTGTCATTACAAAATTAAAGTTTATTCTAAAGTTTATAAATCAGGCTTCTATCTAAGTGCTATTTAGGAGCAACTTCTCCCTGTATGGCAATCTTGAATAGGCAGAAGGATTGAAAAGGATGAAGAATAATCTCTACTCACCTATAGTTGGATCATGATACTCAGGGAACCGATGGCTTATGAATTGCATTGTCATTGCTGGAGAGGAGAAAGACAAAGAAAAAAGAATGATATTACTGTCTTTAAACCATAAGTGGGAAAAGAACATGGAGAGAATTCACTCATCCAAGTATCAGCTTAGAAAGTGAGTCAAAAGTCTGTGTCTACAGCTGCAAGAATGCACTGATACTACAGTGATAGTTAAAAATGGCTAAATGGAAAAAATATGAATCAAAATTAATTACTTGTCTTAATTTCTTCCTTTTTAAGCAACATTTTATCAATTGCTGTATTAAAATGTAACATCTTTTTAACACTTGGTAAATATTGTTAACCTGATATTGTATACAGATGAAAATTGCCATGAAGAAAACAGAATATAATTTACAAGGCTGACTCATAAAACTTTTCATGATGTTACAAAATGCCACTAGCTGCAGTACCTGATTTGATTGCTGATGCATTTTAGGAATACCTAACTCATTAAACTGGATGCAGCAGATAAATGCTTCTATCAACCCCCAAAGATCTTGGTTTCTTCTGAACAGTCTGTTTTACAGATGAATATTGCTTTGCATCCTTTGGAACAGGGGAAACTCTGGAAGTGAAATTCCAATTTATGTAGAAAACCAGAAGCATTCATATCATGTTGTGCTGGTTTTGGCCAGGATAGATGAAAAGACCAACTGACCAAAGGGATATTCCATACCATATGATGTCATCCTCAGCATATAAAGCTTGGGGAAGAAAGAAGGAAGGGGGTACATACAGTCTCATGGCATTTGTTTTCCCAAGTAACCATTACATGAGATGGAGCCCCGCTTTCCTGGAGGTGGCTGAATACCTGCCTGGCAACAGGAAGCCATGAATGAATTCCTTGTTTTGCTTTGTTTGTGCATGCAGCTTTTGCTTTACCCATTAAACTGTCTTTATCTCAACCCATGTTTATTCTTCTGAGTCTCTCCCACATCCCATTGGGGGGTGAGTGAGTGACTGTGTGGTGTTTATTGCCCACTGGGGTTAAACCACGACACCTGTCCAACTGTACGTTTCCAACATGACTTCTAAAGTTCATGGACTTTGAATAACAGCTAAAGAAGGCTTGGGTTTTCAGCAGTCACAGGAATACCATCAGTTATCAGAACAACATGGGAAGTTATGTTATTTTTGTTATTTCTCCTGTGGAGTTTGATTCTCAGCTCATTTGAAAAGTAAGGGTATCTACCTAACACTGAGAGCTGTGAATAAAAACCTTCAGAAGTGCAATAGGTGAATTATAACTGAACAGAAGAAGAAAAAAATATACCACCTAACAGATTTTTTTAAAAAATATTGCTTGATTTTTAAGCCAATTTCATTATTTTATTTTTTTCATGTTTTTTTAGTGCTTGCATTCAAATTCCTCTATAGTCGCTTTGTGGAAATCTGTTTAGAAAAAGTACCCCACCCGCATGATAATGATAACTGTCAGTCACAACATGTTATATCAAGCATGAGATTCTGCCTTACGTATTGAATATTTCAGCTACCTTCAATAGCAGAAGTTATGAACAAAAAATGTGACATTTTAAAAATTCTGCATACAAATACACCCATTTTTAAACAGTTTTGTTTTAGTTTAATGTTTGTCCTCCTTATATTTTCAAGAATCAGAGGGTCAAGGAGATACTTTTACAAAATGATACAGACAAGGAGTATTAAACATTTATTACCATGTTAATAAATTATTGCATCTTTAGTGTAGACAAATATAAATGTTAAGAAGCAGCATTATAAATTCATAGTAACCCAGAGAGGGTAACTGTGTAAAAAAGCTCATTCAGTCTATACATATTGTAGGGGAATAAATCTGTGTGTAGTGACACTCGTGTCTTCTGTATTATCTGTTGTCAGATGCATTACTTCTAAGTACTGTCTATGTTTGGACACTTTCATTTCCAGGACACCTGTTTTTTTAATCACGACAGATTTTTAGGCACCTCCATCTGATAACTGTTAGTGGTTTATGAAGAATAAATTGATGCCTAATGTGAGCTGCCTAGTTTGCTTTGAGAAGCAGAGGCAGCTAGCAGAGATGCTGTTCATACAGTTCATGCCTACACATTTTGAGCTTTCTGAGGGCACATACCACAAATTAATTCAATGTATTTCACTACCTGCTGCTTTTTCTTGCCAAACTTTTTCTTAAAAAAGCAAACTACTCTGTATCTGATCTTGTTCTGTTGTTCTGTTCCCTCTTGGAGCCACGCCTGCATCACAAAACCTGGTGTTACAACTGAAACAGAAATTTTCAGAGGATACCCAAAACTCACGGTAAAATTTTTCCTCTCTCTTGAGACAATGATAAATCAATAAAACACCTATATCCTCATTAAATCCACGGTATCTAACAGGACAGAATAATTTTCTACTGTAAATGTGTAGAATTCTGTGTAATGTGTAAAATTTACACCTCCCAGACCACTCTGTTTGTGTCAATATGCATCGTCAAAACTTTCACCTAGGGTGCACACATTGCTTTAGAAGCAAACCTGAGGAGGAATTTATGTCTTGTAAAGTCAAGTACAATACTGACTTGCATATGTGTAATACTAGTTTCAGGCCAGAGCTCTACATGAGCTGATTTAGCCATACATAAAATTAATCTGGAGAAGTTTAGAATTTCATAGAATCATAGAATCGTAGAATGGTTTGGGTTGGAAAGGACCTTAAAGATCATCTAGTTACAACCCCCCTGCCATGGGCCGGGACACCTCCCACTAGCCCAGGTTGCTCAAAGCCCCATCCAGCCTGGCCTTGAACCCCTCCAGGGATGGGGCATCCACAGCTTCTCTGGGCAACATCTTCCAGCGCCTCACCACCCTCACAGGAAAACATTTCTTCCTAATATCTTATGTAAATCTACCCACTTTCAGCTTAAAACCATTACTCCTCATCCTATCGCACACCCCCTGATCAAGAGCCCCTCCCCATCTCTCCTGTAGCCCCCTTTCAGCACTGGAAGGCTGCTGGAAGGTCTCCCTGGAGCCTTCTCTTCTCCAGACTGAACAACCCCAACTCTCTCAGCCTGTCCTTGTACGGGAGGTGCTCCAGCCTCTGGCCATCTTCATGGCCTCCTCTGGACCCACTCCAACAGCTCCGTGTCTTTTTCATATCTGGGGCCCCAGAGAATTTGAGAAAGGTATTCATAAAAGCACTCTACAGAATGAAATGAACATATCAGCTGGCAAGGGAAATGGTGAACGAAAGTTTCCTTTTACATGTATTTTGTTAACCGACTGCTTCCATGACAGCCCTTTGTCAAGGGCTCCTCTTAATCACCATGGTAAGGAACCTCTTTGGTCTCCTTAGAGTTTGTCACCTCTTGCATGGGGATTAGCACCCTCTCCCAGACACAGATTACATGGCTAAATTGCAGTGTAAAATGAGGAAACTGGGATACTAGAGGTGGGAATTGCAACCTGTCTTCCTCTGTGTGTTCTTTAAAATAATAATTAACATTTTCTGTTAAACTTTACTGAATATTAGTGCAGCAAGCATTTTCAGAGAAGGCATAACAGGTCACTTCCCTCAAGGGAAAGGAACACCTAGCTTTTGGTTTTGAACAACAAATTCCTCCCTTCATGAGGATGGAGGACAAAGAAGTATCAAAACATCAGGTCTGATGTACAACAGAGGTTGTATCCAGATCTACCAGAAATTCCACAGTCTTGGCTGCTGGACATGCAGAAATTAGTTCTGAATTACGGTCAGAAGTTGGTGGAATGCTTCCCAGAGCAAAAGAAAGTTCAGTCACCATTAGCACGAAACCATGCAGCTCTGATGGAGCTTCAGGAATTAGACCTGCTTACAACTCTGTCTGGGCTCCCCAGCAGAACAGCTGCCTCAGCTGGAATACACCAGCTTCTTCACTGATACTGACAGCTCCAGTCATTTTCCAGAGTAAATTAATTTTGAAAACTAATACAAAAATAGTATGGGTACTCCATGGTGCTTTATGAAAATATTCTTCTTGGTCCCTCCTTTTTCCTTATCCATTATCCTTTTTTTCCATATAAATTAACACTCACACCTCACAAACCCAAACCATCATCAGATATCGTTGTGACAATTTTCTTTTGGAAATCCAAATAACATTGTTCCAAATTTTTACAGATCTATAAATTAGGGACCTTTAACTCTAATTTATGCCGCACACAAAGCACTGTATCAAGCGTGGCTTTAAAGCAGGATATTAAAACAGAATAAATGGGTAAGACCAATATTTGAATAAATACATATACATACAAAAGCAGAGTCAGTTAAAATGGTAAAAAAAAAAAAAAAGAAAACCCTTTTAATCCATAGCAGATATTGTGAAACATTTTGAATTGCAAGTTGCCTGAAAATTTTTAATGAATATTTTATAACACTGTGAAGATCATTCAATTTAAATGGGACATCTACATCACATGGCAACTACAATAACTAAAAGAATCATTGTTTCAGATGAATAGCATCTTCTTTATATCCATCGGTGGCTAAGCAAGTGCAGATTGCCTCAGATGAATAAATGTAAGCCTGATATGCATGAGTAACTATGAAACTTTAAAGTTCTCCTGTGTTTTCAAAATAAAAATGAGGTTCAGATCCTGCACTGAGTTTTCAGTTTTTTCCTGTATGTTTATCCAATGTTCACTAACTTTCTAAAAAGGTATACATAATACCCATACTGGCGCCGGAATACATAAGTTTTCTATGAATAACAAACTTAGTCCTGCCTGCTACTCTTAATGTAATTCCTTCTCTCTTCCTAATAATATTTTATTTACCTCTCAGCAAGAAATACCATGGTTAGAAAAAAGCTGAGATTGTATTATTTATTCTAAAGCGTCCTTTGGATCAGTACAGCAATATTATATTTTACAAAAAGTAGGTGTCAACTTTTTAAAATACATGGGTTTTTCACATTTTTCACATTTCAACTTTCAGCGAGACCTAGACAGGCTGGAGA